CCACAACGATGATGATGCCGCCGGACCGCTTCATCCTATAGTGGTACATGCTGGCCGCTCAAGGACGACATTGAGTGCAACGATCACTGCAGCACATTCTTCGTGTTCGACGCTGCGCTCACCACCTGGCGCCATTGCCTCAAGGAGGACCTGCGCATGATTGTGTCGCACGCTGGTGGCCGGCAATGACACGGCACAGTGCACGATCACGTACCTGCACGGGATCGTGGGGGTGTGGGACATCATCCATGTGGCCGCGCGGCTGTTCATCCAGTGACAGCAGTCCAGCAGGGCCGCAGCGACCAGCTAGGCAGCCTCTCCATAAGTGTGGCATAGTATGACATGGCCGGATGTGTGTTGTTGTATCACGTCTTTTTTCAGAAAAGAACCGATGGCAGATCCCCTGATGTCCAGGATACTACAATGTGCCAGGGTGCCTGTCAAGCGGATGATCTGCATCTGACACAGCCACGTCGCCTGTCACCATTCCGATCGGACCCATGCACACCAGGATTGGGCAGCGGTTGCCAAGCGGTCGCCGACTTGATGATACCATGACGTATCCTGGCCCCGAAAAGTACGCTACAGGCCTGTATCTGCGCAACGCCTTTTCACACCCTGTTTTCGCTCAAATTCACTTCCAGCCTTGCCATTCGTCTTGATGACCATTCTAACCTTGTCATACGCCCGCATCAGTGACCGCAGCATGGACCCTTCAACCCCTCTCCCTTGCAAACGGAGCCACATTATCTCCCGCGGCACCTTGTCAAACGCCTTCTCGAAGTCCATTTGCACAATGATTAACGGCCGCTGCCCCGGGGTGCTGCTTGTCAGCAAGGTACTGCTTGGCACTGGTGTGGTATCGAATCCTCCTCTGAAACCCGCTTGGCCTCTGTGCCTAAGTGAGAGCGTCTTCCCTGTGCCAACGAGCCTATCCAGGAGGACCAGCGCGTGACATTTCAGCATGGCGCCCCCTACTAGTAGTACTGCTATGCCCCGGTAGTTACTCGGCATGCTGGGGCCCCCCTTCTTGTAAATTGGGGTGAGATCGGTAGTTGTAAACTGCCGTGGGAAGGAGTTCCCAGTCGCAATGATGCGTTCCAGAAGCACTTGCAGCACTGGAACAAGCTGGTTCACTTCCCGCCGTCGCCTGCACCTACCATTACTCGACGCGGAGCCTTCCTCTTCTCGAGGCAAACGCGCATAACGGTAACACTCCGACGGAGATACTTCTAAGCCTGGTGCCTTACTGTTGGGCATCGATCAATAGCACCAGTGTGAGGGGGGGTTCTAGGATTTCTGCTGCCTTTGCAGTCCTGCCCAAAACCGAGTGGGATGACCGCCATTCCTGCCCTCTTAGGTATCGCCCAAAGTTAATGAAGTTCAAAAGCCGATTCGCCCCCTCGGGGCCTGTCTCTCCCATACCTGTGTTTAATAGCACAGCAAAGTGATCCCTGAAGACCTTCGTATAATCTATCTCACATCGCTCCCTCAACTTCCCTCCTAAAGCCCGCCACAAAGCTCGTTGGTCATGCCGACATTTGACCACAAAATCTCTCATCCTGTCCTCCCCATATGCCGCCTTTGCATATCTTTTTGCCCGGTTGTAATCCGTCCGCGCGTGGCAGAAAGCCTCCCATTCCAGACCCGATTTACTACTCATACATGCGCTGCCGCGTTTGCCGCGTTTGCTGACCAAACAGTATCCCCTCCTGACGTCATGCCGGTAGGACGGTGAGAAACGAGGGCCCTCACCGTGACTTTGTACAGGGCACCTCCAATGTGTTCGACAGCTTGTGTGGTTTTGCAAACTCCACCCTGCAGATCCTGGGCCACTTGGCTTAAGGCATTCATGGTCGGGGAACCCCCCACAAAATATTATGTGTAATCCTGGTAACGAGCAATATCAAACTTCACCCGGGCTTTCCGGCCTTTACCGTCCCTACACCTGCCTTCGTCATCCACTGTAACATTTAGAACAAGCGTCAAAGGTCGGTGGTCGGTGGGCTCCCATCCATCCAACTCGATTAGATTTCCCACCCTCAGAAAGGTGGCGAACTGCTGAAGCACACGCGGAGTCGCTATGAACAAATCGATCATACTATCGCCTGCCTCCCCTTGGGCCTCCCGCTCAGGTTCCGCACCCACCACCAGCATCCAATAGAATCCGGATCGACGGCGGCCCAACTCCATTCCTGGTCGGCTCGCAGGTTAACTTTATCCCAGGTCACCACCGTCCATCAACTAGTGGCACTTTGCCTTCCACCATCGGAAGGATTTTCGACCCTGACAGGTCTCGATCCCGGGATTTCCCAGGGGCAGTGGTCCGTGCCTTACCAGTAGTGCCTAAACTAAGCATACATATATACATGCACACTGCTTAGCATCACTGATGCCAATTACAGGGTGTGCTGAAACACCAGAGTGCACTGATCTGGCAGGTTGATCCAAATCTTTCCGTCATACATGGCCCGTGGCTCATTATTAGCACGCCCTGACTCCACATTACCTCCAAACTCGGTTGCCTGTGTTCAGGGGATTGCATGCCATGCCATTACATGACAGAGTGAGCAATGAGCATGGTACAATAAGCATCAAATCACAAGATATCACAAGGAATCACAAGAATGGTGAATGCATGCGATCGCGCGCCATGATTGTTGCATCAGGTCACACATAAAACAAAGGTTCCCCTCTTGTCCTCTTCCCCCTCACAGGGGCCCAGAGTACAGCACTGATCCAGCTTACCTAACCGAAACAACGTACGATCATATCATCTGCTATCTGGCACATATTAAGCTGCATGTGCAGGCCCCAAACCCTCATCTCACCTGGTACATGAACACACTTGCACTCTCAACAATTCATCCACAACCCCCATTCACTTACCCCAGCCCTCTCCATCCCGTCCCCACCTGCGAGCAAAACACTTCCTCCAGCTGCCCCGCCGCCTGTCCCACCCACACTCCGTAGTCTCCCCCCAACCAGCTCTTCCTCCCGGCATTAATAACCGCCACCAGCCGGGTCTCCCCCTCAATCACCCGCTCGAAGGCAACTACCCCGTTGGCCCGGTCCTTCCAGAAGCAGGGGGGCACGGGAGGGGGAAGAATGAAAGACCACCAGCACAGGTGGAGGGTGAGGTCGAGAAAGGGTGTCAGTTGTTGGTTCGATAATGAAGACGTTCATACAGCTTACATCAGACGTGCGGCCAACACAAGGACAAAGGCGGGGGCCATATTGCGGCTCCACTTGGCCTTCAACCAATTACTGGTGGAGGGGAGAGAGGGACACACCACCGCCTCAATCATGAGAAGCCCACCTGCCGTGCGCCCTCCCCTTGCGTCTTTTTCCCTTTCCATCAGTCCACTACAACACACAACACACACAAGCAGCAGATGATCTTTCCTTCCCTCCTACCACACACATGCACCACATAGATGTCGTACATTGGTCTCGGTCCTTTAGCATCTAGGGCTGACTCCCCACAGGCCTCAGATCACATGTCTACCTAAGGGCTCGTCTCCTGCTTGGAGGCCCAGATGGTTCAGCCCCACCGACAGCAGCTGCAGCAGCTGCAGTGGCCGCAGCCTCGAGCAACTCTCACCTCATGCAGTATGTTGGCCCAGCCCCTCCTCAGAGCGGGGAAGCGGTTTCGGAGTTCGTTGGCCCCGGCCACCAGAGCCTTGCTGTGAGTCCCCACCTCATCTGTGCTGAGAGACCACTGCAGCCGGCGATCTGGTACGACATCCCACCAACCGGACTACCATGTGGGGTATCAAAGGCAACACGTGGGGAAGGAGGCGGGAAGTGAGGGGGAGGGGAGGGGGTGGGACGATTCATTCACACGAGGGTGGGGTTAAGGTTGGGGAGCCCGGTGAGAGGAGCTGGGAAATGGAGAAGGCGCGACAACCAAACCTTGCATTGCTAAGGAGTAGTATTTTGGTTATCCCAGACGAGGGGCCCCCGGAGGAGGGGAGGTCCAGGAAAGCCGCATGATAGGGGGAGAGAGGGGGTTTCAGGATTTGGAAAACACACAGCGCACACCCCATCAGTGGGCCCTACCCCCCACCCCCCATACACATACACATTGGACAAGAGCTGGGTTGCCAAAGGACCTAGTGTTGGGGATGACCAAGGAGTACAAGAAACACAGTGCCGTACAGGACAGGCTGGACCATAGGGGGGTGAGCTATTACCTGGGCAAACTCGGTTCCTGTGGTCGATGATGTCGTAGATGATGGTGATGTAATGTAGCATGCCATGTCGCACACAGGTCAGTGGCCATTTTCAGTCCAGAATTCATAAGCAGGCAGCAGCAACAGCAGAGGAGAGCGGGAGGGAGAGAGGAGGACGTTACATGCAAATCAAATGTATGGGGCTGAAGGAGCTGCGGTCACTCGTCCACAGAAATACAACTTTTTACCAAATCGCTGAATCCCAATCTTCATGCGAAATACTCTTACCCCACCTAACCCCACTTCGCAGGCACTTTCCCTATCTCCTATTTAGCATCCTCTTCCCCTTCACACCACCACCTTCCCTGCACCCCATGATACTACTACCCACATGTCCCACTTGTAGGTATGTCGGCGCCTTTTCTTCCCAACCTGATCTTCAGCCCCCCTTCTTAAAATGGAAACCCCCCGACCCCCGTGGACCACGTCCACACAGACCTAACCCCCCACTAACCCATAAACATCATGGGCAGCCCCGCCGCCGCCACGTTAGCCGTGTACCACAACCGGGATGAGGCTCGAGCGCTCCAGTCGCCCCGGCCCCCCCCATACTGGTCCACCTGGGTACGGTGGCAGAGCAACCAGGGGCGTGGGGGAAGGGGGAGAGTAAGGAGGGGGAGAAACAAAATGCAGACACAATATAAGCTGCTTCGAAGGTCACTTAGGGGGCAGCTTACATTTGGATGATTGTTTGCTGAGCTCTCGCAATTGTTCCTGAATGATCTTCGGGCCAAGTGTTTTAATGGATTTTGGAACAAGGTTGTTAATACACAGCCGGCCGGCTGGGCAAGGAACCCGCGGGTTCCTTGCCCATGCAGCTCTACACCAGGAAGTCCTCCTCCTGGTGTTGAGGGGGGAGCTCGCAGGTGGCTGGGTGGCCAAGCTGCTTCACGTTTCGGGGGAGCTTACATTTGGATGAGGGGGATGGACTACCTGCTGGGTTTACAAGCGATAATAGCACGGTAGGTTGGTGAGCTGGGAAACCCACCAATCTTTCCCAAGCTCCGCCACCACCCCACGTCGGAACCACGAGAAGCTGTCTGCAGTACCCCATGGTTCCCCCTTTCCCCTAACCCCTTACCCCTCAGAAGAAACGAGTTAAGCATTAAGATGGCTAGATACTTGTGCGCTGAAGGGGCTTGCGGTTTGAGAAAGCATCTGGGCCAAGCTGCTGGTCGCTGCATGCCAATATGTTTATTCTTGTCAATACGCATCAGTTGCCAATGCGTTTTCTTCTATGTCGCTGGCCGTTAAGGGGCAAATAGAGTTTATGTCACCACCCCTAGGTCCGCCCCTGGACCTCACTCAGCCCGGCACCCATGAACACAACTCCTCCCCACAGACATACTCTCACCGCGTATCTGTGTTGACCTCCAATCATCTCGTAGTCCTTGTACCAGGCACCACCATTGCGACACCCCACCTGCGGGGGACACCAGGGGGGGGGGGGGCAGATAGCCCAGGGAGAGGTGTTGGAAGGGATCAATACACAGCTCCCTAGAGCCACCAGGGACTTACAACATACATACTTACATACATGTACACCTACAAACGTACATGTGTACCTACCTACAAATATACCTCCCCATACACACACATACCTGGTCATGTGACCCCAGCAGGTACTTGATGCACTGGGTGGGCGAGGTGAAGCCCGGGTGCAGCGCCATGACGGTCCGCAGTCGGGGCAGGTCCCAGCCGGCCGCCCAGTCCCCGCCCCCGTGGTGGCCCCGACCCAGAGCCCGGTGCTGCTGGATGATGTCGAAGTAGCCGCTGACCATATGTGGGAAGGGGATGTGGCGGGTGGCAGGTGGGGGGGGTTAGGAGGGTAAGGGGGGCTAGGGAGGAAAGGAGTTCACGGACAAGCGGAGCGCAGTGCGGGGAGGCTTAGGTGGGGATTGGGGTGGTCACAATGGCAGCGAGCCACAGGAGACAACAGCAGCAGCAGTAGTAACAGTAGCAGTGAAGCAGCAACAGAGCAACACATCCAAATGGAGGTGGTTGGGACCTCTTTCTCTACTCACTTGCTCTTTCGCCGCCTTTACACCTACCTCTACAATATTATGGGTGGTTCTCCTGCTCTCTTTCCGCACTCAATTTTAGTCTTGGCGGCTAGGTAGGTAGTTTTCCGCTATCGTCATCACTCTACATCATCCCGAGGACTTCTTCTTCGCAACCAGTCGGCGACTGGTTAGTTATGCCTTCTTTACTTCTTGCGCATCAGTCTTTCCGTGGCGTCACCTTCACCCGCTCGTGGTTCGTCTTCCCCCTCCAACCCCAACCCCAAGCCCACCTGTGTACCCACACGCTGTCGAACCCCAGCTCGTGCACACTCTGCGGGTTCTCCGGTGTCACCTCGGCGGTCAGGATGCGACCCGGGAACCGCTGTCTGAGGGACCAGGTCAGGTACTGGGGGTGAGGGTGAGGGTGAGGGGGCACAGGGGTGGGGGATTAGCAGCCATAGTAATACAAACTGCTGTCCGGCATTCACACCATCACTCAGCGATGCCACACAGGAACTATCCCTCCCCCTCCCTCGCTCTCATCTCCAACCACTTGTAAACACTCCCTAAACTCTAGCTGCACCCAACCGCCCTTACACACATACACACATACACTGGACTGTCTCAAGTGCTTTCACTCATGCACCCCCCTCACCATTTCCTCCTAGCGGCTTGGATATGGAAACCACGTCCCTCCACCCTACACATACACACACAGAGACACACAGAGACACACCTGTATGGCCTCCCGGGGCAGGTCGTTGGCAGAGTCGAACCTCAATCCGTCACATCGGAAGTCGCAAAGCCACGTGGCACAGGCCGCCTCAGCCATTGCCAAGACCTGATGAGCGCAGCCCCACCGCCAGCAGCAGAAGGGGTAGGGCGGTAAGCATGACAGGGTGCCGGTGGGTCAGGGGGCTGGTCAGTGGTGGAGGAGGAGGGAGGGGGGGAAACCATCTATTTGGGGCGGGGTTGGGGAGAAGGCGACATGTGAGCGGCGGGCCTGCAGGGCTGTGTCGCACCCCCCCCCATGTCCAACTACGTAACACCCGCCACTTGGAAGACGACCGTCCCCACCCCAACCGCATTAACCGCATTAACCGTGACAGTCTGAGGGATGCTTGCCAGGGCCAAACCCACATAGCACTCTTAGAAAGCCGTACAGTCCTAAACCGCCCTAACACACAGCCCCTCACCCCCAACCCCGTCTCCTTCTCCTCTCCGCTTTGGTACGGCATCTCCTCTCCCCCCCCCCGCACCTCTCGCTTCCAGAATGCAAAGCCGCGGCCCCACTGCGTGTCATGACCCCCCTGCCAAGAGGAGGGATGGGTAAATAGGGGGGGGGTCGATGTCATGGGGCCTCAGTCCAGACGGACTGGGCTGGAAGACAGACTGGTAATACACCCAACCCTGGCAAAAACACACACACTCCCCCTCCCTCTTATCCATGCTCCTATACCCATCCCCGTTCCCGGGTACGTCTCCGGTCACCGCCCCACATCACATCACACACACCACATCACATCACCACGTTACAACTACACCCCTTCCGCCCCCCGGTGGCCCTCCCCCCCCCGCACCTCGTGGTAGATACCACCATTCCAATCGGGACCCCAACCGTCGTACTCCCACAGGGAGTTGCCGTCAACGGCCCTGCACGGCATATCGCGGGGGTGAGCGGGCGGTGCAGGGGGTGAGCGGGCGGGTGATGAGGGTTGCAGCAAAGGGGATGTCCTCATCCTCATATTCTAGGAGAAACTGCCGTACAGTACAGGCATACACACCCACCCGTGGTGCAGCACCACGTCGATGATGACGCCCAGGCCAAGGGAATGGGCCTTATCCACAAACCGCCGCAGATCGTCAGGGGTGCCGTACGCTCCTGCAAGACCAAACCAACAACCGCCAAACATCCGTACAACGGAAAAAACGGGGGCCGGGGAAGGGGAGGGAGTGGCACCCTTAAGCAGGTGGCTGGACGTCCAGAAATGCACAAAACAAACGAGGAGTAAGGAACTCATACATACATACACACATACGGACAACAGCCACATCTCAATAGTCAGATAGCAGGTCAGTCAATGACTTCGTCACCAACACGATTGCTCCAAGCCTTGACCGTTAACAAGGTTGAATGATTGCTTAAGCCCCTTCCCGTCCTCCCTCCCTTCTCTCTCACCCCTGTCAAAGTGTCGGTGTTCTACCCCCCCCCACCCCAACCCCACCCCCCCCCCCAACCCCAGCCCCCCCCCACCGTGCAAAGCCATGAGGAGCCGCGGGTTATAGCCCCAGGCGTCTGAGTGCTCCGAAATGGGCATCAGCTGTACGGCAGTGAAACCCAGGGAAGCCACGTGCTCCAACCTGGAGGTGGCTGCAGCCAGGGTGCCCTGGAGCGGTTAGGGGGGGGGAGCAGGGGGGTCTCCTCTCAAGCCACCAACCAGATATAGTCACCAGCCAAACACCCCTTGCCTAAACCCTAAGCCACGCAAGCATGTATGGTACAGCGGTCGGTCCGCAGTTCCCTCCCCCCCCTCGCCGCTGTTACATCAGGAGGGGGCCCCTACCACTGTAATGTTCGCTCTGT